TAAAACGGGTTCCGACACACGAGTTTCTGGGTAGTCAATCCACGAGTGACAGGGATAAGCAAATAAAAATTGACTGTCCTACTGTATCTACTATCTAACTATTTATACTACGATCAATGTACTTACACAAACAACTATCCACAACTGATCGTGAGTAAGCGGGATGAGGTAATGCTACATCTAGGGGATGTATCCGTCACATACGCCCTCCAGCTCGACGCAGCGGCGAGCTTACTCCATCGCCTCGTCTCCCTCCGCCCCCGCCGCTCTCTGCGCGGCCAACCGATTCGCTTTCGCTTCCTCAATGCGCTGGCGACGCTTCGCGATCATCGTTCCACCGTTCACGCCCGTGGCGTAGTCTTCGGTGGACTGGGGGATGTTCTTCTCTGCCAGACGGCGCTCTCGGGCCTTGCGAATAGCACGGTCACGCCCAATCACCGCTTCTCGCCCTTCTTCGTATTCGGCAATCGAAATGGTGATCATTCCCGGTGCCACGCGTTCGGACAGGTACTCATCCGAGCACAGACCGTCGTGAACCAAGGGGACGTAGCTTTCCGCGAAGATAATCTCTCCTTGCTCTCCCACCAATGCGAACGACCAGCTTTTGTTGTCGTAAGTGTTGCACGCCGCTCCGAGTTCCAGGATGCCGACCGGTCCACGCCCGTAGACGGTCCCATCGAAGTCGGGGTCATTCACAGCCTCATTCCAAAGCAGACACTGCTTGAATTGGTGGGCCGTGAGGATGACGTCGCCCTCGTTCAGGTGGACCACGAGGAAGCTCGGAGTCACCCAGGTAAGGGTCCCCTTGTGCTTGGAGTTGAACTCGAGATGAGCGGAGGTAAGTGGCTCGTTGGCCGCCGACTGCCCAGTAATGACGTTTCCGGCGTAGTCGTTCGAAGTGGGAAGGGCAGGCATGGGTGAGGATAGAGACTTTTCCCGAGAGTGGGGGAGACGAGGTGTGTCGGACCCCTCCCCTCTATCACTTCCCGTTTTTGACTCACTCAAGGTGTCCCCTAATTCCGCAAAAACCATGCACCCGGCTTGCAGCTCGATCGGCGGGGCTTCCTTGGTCCCCCTCAAGAGCTGGGATATGTCCGAAATACCCAAGGTGTCGAAGTAGTCCGGCAGGACGCTCAGCTTGCTCACCTGCTGGTAAGGCATCCACGTCCTATCACCAGATTTCCACTTTACCTCGAACAGGGCGCGTCGGCGGCTTCCTGCGTGTCCAACGACACGCTCCACGGCCCATTCCGAGTCAGTGGCGGCATCCGCCACGTTCAGCTGGCTTTCCAGACGGCCCGGAAAACAACGATCATCGTTGGGTACGTGGATTCTCAGTAAAGACGCGTGAAACACGTCATGTATCCCTCTCTGAACTAAGTTAGGGGGTAGTTCCACCCGGAAGGATGAGTTTCCGAAGTCTTGCAATATTCGGTACGGCCCGATAAACTTCGGGAGCAATTTTCTGGCCAGCCCCTTTTCGAAATGAATGTTTTTCGTACTCAAATACACCAGGTCATCCAGTTGGAAGGGCGCAGGAATCCTTTTGCGGTTCGCCGTTCTGATCTGCTTAACCCGGGATGCCAGTATTGAGTCGTGAGCAGCCATTATTGCTAGCCGGCGTTGTCCTAGGAACGCCGCTATGCCCGGGAACTCCTTTGTCTTTTCGGAATTCCACAGCAGGGATCGGGGCATCATTCCCGTGTTCAGGAAGAACGGTGAGTAACCCGTTGTTTCGGATCGAGCAGTATTCATGGCGAACTCGACAGCGGGTAATCTGCTCACCCAGTCTTTTTGCTTGTCACTCACGCATTGGCGCAGCAGCTGAGTAACGGTCCGGTTGGCACGCTCCATTGCCCCGTCCGTTTCTGGGTGATATGCACTAGACATCTTCAGGTCCGTGCCCATCAGCTCGTGTAGCCGTCGCCAGAACGTGCTTGTGAAGAGAACGTCTCGGTCGCTAACGATTGCGTTAGGTAACCCGTGGTGCTTATACACGTGCTCGAACATGAGCTCGGCGAACTGCCTGGCCGTGTAATTCACTCGGCACGGCACTAAGTGCACCATCCCCGTGAGATGGCACACAATCACTGCGATTGAGTTAAATACGCTGTCTCGATTATTGGAGTTGGGTAGAGGTCCAACGAAGTCCACCCCGATCGACTCCCAGGGTCTCTGCGGAGTGGATAACGGGTTGAGCAGACCGTAAGGTGCGTGGTTATTTGGTTTGCTATGTTTACACACTGAACACGACTCGCAGTATGCTTTTACGTCATCCACAAGTGTCTTCCACCAGACGTGCTCCCGTAGGTAGTCTACCGTCTTCCGAGCGCCCAGATGGGCTAGCACTGAGTGGGCTTCTGATATAACTACCTCCCGGATGGAGCGACCGTTGTATTCGAGTTGTGGGATACACATTACTATGTGGTTCTTTTCCTTCAAATATACCACTCCGTCTCTTACCTCGAAGTTTTTGAAGTCTTTTGGCCTGTCCACAATACTTTTGAAGAATTTATCTTCGTGGAAGCGATTTCGAGTAAAAGCCTCCACGTCCAATCCGTCGTGTCCTTGACTAATCACCGGGATTAGAGACGTGTCCGTGTCATCACTTTGGTGATTAATCGCCGAGATCCAATCCGCGGGTGTAGATTGCTTGGCAGGTGGCACTTTCCCGCCCTCCTGCCCCTCGTCTGTCTCTCCCAATTGTCTGTCTCGTTGCGGTTTTTCGTGTTGTGGACCCCCGCCCTCCTTCTCGTCTCTTGGAGCGGGAATATTTGTCCGTTCTGTGGCCAGCTCAACGCGGTCCGTCGCCGGACCCTTCGCACTGTCAAGCAACTTCCTTGCCGCAGTCGCCGCTGCACGCGTGGCTGATCTCAGGACCCGGTCAGATGAGACCGCCATTGCTTCCATCCCGGCTAGGACAGGCATGGACACCCCATGGCCGTCCAGTGCGTCGTTGTCCAACACATCGTGGTAGGTGTATTCTGACCGAGCCCGCACAGTCCCTGCATTCTCGTTTGAATACATTCGTGAAAGTGCATCCGCCAAGACGTTGTCCGGTCCGGGCACATACATAATTTCAAAATCGAAGCTTGAAATCTTCTCCACCCAGCGAGCTTGTCGCCCCGACAGGTTCGGTTGACTCAGCAAGTGAGTCAGGCCCTTATGATCCGTGACCCACTGGAATTTACATCCCTGTAGGATATCTCGGTGTCGTAGCATTGACTCGACTCCAGCCAGCATCTCTATTTCGTGGACTGGATAATTCTGCTGTGCAGAATTCAGCTTCGCCGAGTAAAATGCTGCAACCTTCGCGCTTCTCCAGTCACGTCCCTGACACACCACGCCTGACACTCCTGTCGCGCAGCCATCAGTCACAAGGAAGATGGGATCAGCGTTTGCGCCGTAATTCAGCGGTACCCTGTGGTGGTCTCTGAGGTCAGTGACAATTTTCTTGATGTCCTCAAACGCTCGCTGATGCGTGTAGCCCCATCTGAAGGGGACGGTGTCACCCGTCAGTCCGTGGAGGACCCCCATGGGTACTCGGACCCGAGCAAGGTCGTCTGCCAAGTATCCGACCGAGCCCAAGAACCCGCGCAGGAGGTCTCGATTCGTGGGCATCTTCCAGTTCAAAACTGTGTCCACCTTTTCTGTATCCATTCGGATACCCTTGTCTGTGACCACGCGGCCCAAGACTTTCAGTTCCTGCTTCAGAAACTGAAGCTTATTCTCCCCGAGGTAGAGCTTCTCTCGCCGTAGCACATCAATTACTAATTTTACGTGTCGCTTATGGTCTTCCAGCGTTTCTGAATATATGATTATGTCGTCTAAATACACGTCCATGAAACGACCAATATAGTCAGAAAATAGGTAATTCATTAGCGATTGGTACGTGGCGGGCGCGTTGCAGTCACCCTGCTGTAACACTAGGCTGACCATATTCCCATCCGGCGTGGTCATCGTTGTCCGGTCAACATGCTCGGGGATCACTCGGATCTGCTCATAAGCATCTTGGCCGTCGATGAGCGAGCGATATTTGCACCTAGCAACGCGCCGTAATATGCCATCCATATCCGGCAATGGCGACGCCATCTTGCGAGTGTTCGCGTTTCGCTCCCGAAGGTCCACTACCACGCGCAGGCGGGGTGGGTCTGACTTTGCCTTGGGTATTAACAACATAGGCACGGTATTCCTCGCGTTTGTGATTTTCCAACGCCCTGTCTTCAGGTACACGCGACGCTTCTCATCCCACTGAGGTCGGAGTGCGTCTGGGCACCTCGACATACGCCAAGGCATAACCTTTTCCGGGTCAATGAGGGGGATTGTGTGGTTGATTTTCCGCAAGGGAGGCAGCTCTGTTTCAGCTGCGACGCGGCACACATCTCTGGCATACTCAGTTAGCTCTTCGCGAGCTTGCCGTAACTCATCCAAATTGACGCCCATGGCGCCTGTATGCAGGCGAGCAGTGGCCACACCTTCCAGTGGCAGCGCCCTCGCACTCCCAACACAGACTCGAGAGGGGTTAAACCCTATGCTTACCCGGTGCTGGAACAGCCAAGCGGTTCCGAGAATGAGGTCGTAGCCACTGATGTTAGCCACGAAGAAGGTGCGTATCTCGTTTATGTCCTGATATTTCACGCTCACGTCAGTCGTGTGATTTATCCTTGAGCGGGACCCCTGCACCGCCAACTGGAGGGTCAGCGGCTCGGCTAGGTTACTCAACGGCAGTCTCAGTTGATCTGCAGCCGTCGTGGAGATAAGATCCCCGAGCGAGCCCGAGTCAATCAGTGCCCGCAGCGGGTGACCGTTCACTTGGACCACCACGATCAGCGGCTTGGCGACCACCGTTTCCTTCGATCGAGGCAACGAAGCCGTACGTGACAAACCGGCCATCTTATCCGGCGGGATCTGGACGCCGTGGCATGTAACCGTCGGACCCATCTTGGCTTCCAGTCCATTCCTCGAATAGGTAAGCCACCATCGGTCGCTTGGTAGTTGCGTTAAGGCTGATTCTGCGTTTTGCGCAGTGAGCGCCTCTCCTGCGCCCTGACCAGCCAATTGATCAGGTCCAGTTTAGGGTTAAGCAGTTGCTCTCGGAATATGCCAATCTGCCCAGTTTGACCGTTAGGCGTCTCCACCTCGATTGAGTACATGAAGGGGAGTGTTTTGCCCTCCGTCTCGTCGCTCCAATAGCACGGCTCAATATTCCGGTATTTACTGCACTCGGCTGGATGCGTAACCGCCATCTCATCCATGTAGAAACCGAGCTGCGTTCCAAGCAGGTCGTCAATAGCCACATGGTGGATAGGTCTAATTGAGGCCTCCTCCTCCGCACCTATGCGCAAGCGCTCACGCACTTGGCCGGCATACCATGCTGCCACCTCGAAGCGAACGTCTGAAAGTAAGTGTCTAGACATATGCACAGTCAGTCCGTTGACCTTGTCTGTCACAGTGTATTCATCCTCACACCATGAAGGGTACACACGGAAACGCTTATAATTCCAAACGGTCGAGTCCCGGTCAATTCTCTCGTCACCTGGATACGGCTGGCTAAACTCCAGCAAGCTCCGGACGCCTTCTGCCTGCAAGTCGCCTATCTGACGGCCACGAGGAGATCTCGGACTAGACTGGTGTGTTGCCCGATTCCTCTCTCGGCCCCAGCGCTCAATTCGATCTCTGGGTGTCTCTCTTGCCCATTCCCCTCGAGGAACTGAATGAGGTCGAATCGTGCCGTCGGATGGATTTGGGCCCAGGGCGAGATCTGCCCCAAGCACTGCGTCCACCCACACACTTCTTATCAGATCATCCGAGTCGCTGTTCTCGTCATCCGATGAGTCACCGTCACCGACTAGCGCCGGGAGCTCGTCTCCATTGAGGCTCAGGTCATTGGATGGCGCTGAGTTTAGACAGGGCTGGCTCTTACGTCCAAAATATAGATCATGCCATTCACGCAGATTGAATGAGTGGTTTTTCAAGGTGTCTCGCTCAAGTAATACATGATTAATATCACTCGCCCGGCGAACGGCCAGAGTGGTGTCTGACCCTTCCTCGGCCACCAACGTCGAAGCGGTTCCATCGTTATTCATCGAATCATACTGATGTAGCAAGATCAGAGTCATGGCGAGGAGCGAGTCACCCAACGTACGGAAATAACGCTCCGGCAGCGACAAGCCCGGCGCGTCCGGGTGGATACCCTGTGCCAAATAACACTTCTGGGCCCAGTACCACCCTATCTCGAAGTTTGGGTCCTCCAACCAAATGGATGGAACGAGATCGTCGCCCTCTAGGATGCTTAAGGGGGTACCAGCGTCCAGGATGCAGTGTCGGTCACTCCCGTGCACCCGGTAGACCAGAAAACGGCCCTCTGTGGGTTCAGAGCCATCGTCGCCAGGAAACGGGGCGCACCTTTGGAGCGCGAGGCCAGCGAAGCGCGCCACTAAGTCGCCCACGAGGTCCTCCGTAAGTTCCAGGTCCTCCGATTCGTGCTCCAGCGCTTCAATCGCGTGGTCGAGGATTTCCAGCTTCGGTTTCGTCTCCGCCGTGGTTGGTCCCAGGGACAACGCCTCGACGCCTCTTGTCAGCGCCTCCACCTCTGGGCAGTCCCATCTTTCGCTCGAAACCCCTCTAGCCAGCCCCTCGATCTCGTCGACGTCTTCCCAGCCGTGTGAATCAGACTCGGACGCGTCTGAGAATTGTTCCCGTGTTTCCCCGTCATCCCGGAAGACATGCGGGAAGACGCTGGCCACGTTCAAGGTCTCGAGAACTTCCGTGGTTTCGCCTAGAGAGGCCAGCCGCAGGCTCACGCCATGCGCTCCAAAGCCCGGCGGTTTACCCTTGATTCTGGACCTCATCGTGGTCAGTTTCGGGCAGCTACGGGCCATGTGTCCACTCTCCTCGCAATTCAAGCAGACTCCCCGGGACATCAGCTCTGCTCGTTTCTGGGGCGAAAGTCGACGTTCCCAAGGACGATCCACCGAGTTCTCTTGACTCTTGTTCGAGGAGCTTGCCGGGGCGTTCGTGTGGGGAGAGCGAAATGGGGGCCTCGGCCCATTGTCCCGAGGTGGCACCACTGCGGCCGCAGCGGCCTTAATTACGTCCCCTCGCCTCCGTGGGAAGAACCGTTTTTTCCTTTCGTCTCGACTGGGCCCTGGCTGGGCTGGGCCGGTGCTTGCCGTGACGGTTGCTGGGGCCTTTCCCTTACGTCGCTTGTCAAGGCTGAGAAACCTCTCGGCTCGGATCGCTTTCCTCACCACACGCTTCCACTTCGACCTTTCAGGATCAAGTCCAAACCGGAAGAGCTCTTCCTGGATGTCGGCGTCGAAGCTATTCCAGAGTAACGCAATGCGCTCCCGGTCTTTCTTCAGCCCGATTTGGAGAAGTATACTCTCCAATTCCAGGACGTGCTTATTTACGGACTTGCCGTTCTGGTGGCAACGATGCAGCCGCTTGCGCTGCTTCTGTCGGTAGTCCAGGGAGAAGCAATACTTCAACAACCTCCGGAGCATTTTCTTAAGGGTCCATTTGTGCTCGTGGCCCCGTATCCGGCGGTTATAAAAGTCCTTGGCGTCTCCGTCCAGGAAGGACCCGATTATGGGCACGCGATGCGCTCTAGGTACGTTCCCCAGCTCGCAATATCTATTCGCTTCATCGACGAACTGCGTGTACAGGTCGGCGTTCTCTGACCCGTCATAACGGGCTGGGGGATTGGGCTTTACCAACATCTTCCCCCTTGGTCCCCTGGTCATCTTTTTCTTTTTAGACGACTTCTTCCTACGAGGACGCGCCGAGCTGGCGCTCGAATCGTCGGACTCAGAGGTTGATCCTGAGCTCTCGCTCCCTGGCTCTGAGCCGCTGGACGACCGACTGCTGTCACTGTCGCTATCCGACTCGGAATCACCAGACGAAGACTCAGGGCTGGATCCACTGTTGTCCGACGGCTGGAGGCTGACCCCCCGTAGCACGCTAGTTACAAACCCAGCAGCGTCCTTCGAAGAAGCCGGTCGTTTCTTCTCAGCGTCCGACGCCGGTATCCCCGACCTTCCAGCTCCTGATCGGGCTATGGTGGTGCGTCGATTCACTGCGTTGGTTCGTGGATTCTGATTCTCAGATATCTGGGCCATCCCCCGTTGACGCTCTCGATCTTCGAGCTCCGCCAATCGCTCCCGCATCCGGTTGAACTCGCGCAGGAACACGTCGTTAGGGTTATTTTCCGCCGAAACGCCCTCGGCTTTAACCCACGGTCGAGCCTCGACCGGTCCCCGGTGGATTGGGCTCTCTCCACGGTAACCGTGTCCTTGCTCACTTCTGGAGGCGGGGCCAACATCTAGGCGCTCACGCTCTGATTGATTTATACGGGCTAACTCGAACGCTGCCAGTGCATCTTGCTGGTATTCCATCTCACTGTCATGGATGTCGAGCTCACCCCAATTTCCAGGATCGGGGCCTTTGCCCTTCCGTCGGGAAGAGCTTGGAGCCAGGGGCTCGGGGATTTGAGACCCGTCTGAATACTCGGCTTCCCCTAGCCGGTAGGGACGGACGTCCTGGGTTACCGATCCATCACCATCCAACGCTGACTCTTTCATAGATTCAGGGGTGGTGTCTGCGTGGAGCTCTGACTCCGGGCCCGGAGTTCTCTGCTCCACTGCGCTAGCCAGCTTAGCATAGCGATCTGCAATGAGCCGGAGCGTCGATGGGGACATGGACGCTGCAGCCTCATCCACAATAGAGGTAATGTCCTCTGAGTCATTGCGCACGTGGCCTAATTCAGGACTAAGTCTACCAACAGTGCTCGATTTACGACTATCGGCGGACTCTCGATGGGTGCGCGCCGTCTTTCCTGTCGCCAATGTCCAAGGACCGTCTTCGTCCTCCATTTCCTCCACTGAAGGGGGAAAACTGCCAAACATTTCTCCTGTCTGAACAGACAGGGGTGGTTTCTCCGTGATTTCACGGGCTGGGCGTTCCCCCTGGGACGGGGTACTGGCTATGTCTCCGCCGACGGTCAACGACGCATTGACGGGCTTGGGGGAGATGATGAGGGCCGGTGAGACCACGCGGGCGTAAGTCCGCTCTGGCGTAGAAGGACGTTCCTCGATTCGGGTCGGCAGCGCTGCCAGCTCCCCGGTTGTCATCACGGTGCCACGGGAATTGCGGCGACGCAGGGCACGACCGGGGTCAGGGTGGGTGTCGCGGGGGTTTGGTTGTTGCATGGTATCAACGGTATGGGGTTGGTTTGTCTTCGGCAGAGTCGGCGGGCGCGGGAGATCAATCCACGGGGTCCAGAGCAGAGCGAAGAGTTCTTTAGCTTGTACTGTCAAAAATATGTGGCGGAAGCGTCCTAAAACGGGTTCCGACACACGAGTTTCTGGGTAGTCAATCCACGAGTGACAGGGATAAGCAAATAAAAATTGACTGTCCTACTGTATCTACTATCTAACTATTTATACTACGATCAATGTACTTACACAAACAACTATCCACAACTGATCGTGAGTAAGCGGGATGAGATAATGCTACATCTAGGGGATGTATCCGTCACAGTCTGCATCTCACGAGTCTACCGCGCTCGCTTCCCTGGAAACTACCGATCGTGAATTGTGGCATAAGCGTTTTGGTCATGTGGCTCGGAGGACCCTTACTCACTTGCCGACACAAGTTGAAGGTGTTCCCCCCTTGCGACGCAATAAAGACCAGTGTGGCATGTGCAATGGATGTATGCTTGGAAAACAACACAAGCATCTGTACCCTGCATCAGAGAAACGTGCTAGCAAACCCCTCGAGCTTATCCACACTGATTTGATGGGCCCCTGGCCTACTCAGTCGTTGGAAGGTTCACGCTACACAATTTTGTTCTATGACGATTTCTCAAGCTTTGGCATGATGGTGTTTATTAAATCAAAGGACCAAGCCTCTACCGCAATTAAAAACTGTGTTGCCCTTACAGAGCGTCAGCTTGGCACAAAAGTACTGGCCTTCCGGTCAGATCGTGGAGGTGAATATATGTCCAATGAACTCACAGCCTGGCTCAATGCACGTGGTATTATGCACCCTAAGTCCGCGCCACGCAAACCATAGCAAAATGGGAGGTCTGAACGTTGGAATTGCACAGCCTACGAGAAAGCGGAATGCATGCGCCTCGATGCTGGCCTATCCAAAGGCTTCTGGCAATGTGCCATAGATGCATCTGTCCACGTTCATAATAGACAACCTATGGCACGATTGGGATGGCAAACACCTGTGGAACTGTGGCTTGGAAAGAAGCCAGATGTCTCTTATTTCCGTGTGTTTGGATGCAAGGCATCTCTCTATGTGGATGTTGAAAAACGCCCAAAAGGGTTGGAGCATGGACGCCCCGACCACATCTTTGTTGGATACAAACAAGAGACAAAAGCTTGGAAAGTGTGGGATCCAAATCAATGCAAGATACGAATCTCTTCAAACGTCGAGTTTGATGAGCAAGTATTCCCTGCCAAGTCCAAGCTAGTCACCGGCAATGTGTCCTCTGGACTGGAGCTGTTCACACCATTCGAGGAAACCTTCCCTGACCTTATCAATAATCCTGCATCTGCAATGCCTTATGCAAGTATAACACCTCCTGCTCTCCCACCGCCACCGGCACCCCTTGCGCAACAAGGTCCTGTCACAGGATTGTGAGAAGTACCCCTAATGCCTGGCCCAATAGACGATTGCCCGATTGCCCATTGCCGCACTTGTCGGAATAAGCCCCGCATTATGCCAGATGGAACTACGTATCAGAGGCCTAGCAGCATTGAGTCCATGTTATCAGCTGCCCAAGCTGAGCATGACTTGCCTCAAAACGTATGGGACGTAGCAAAGAGCCCGGATGCACTCAAGTGGGAGCGCGCAATGCGCGAAGAACTGGACTCTCTCGAGGAAAACTGTACTTGGGACTTGACCAGCCTTCCACGCGGTCGAAAGACTGTAAAATGCAGATGGGTGTTTAGCAGGAAGCGTGACGGTTGTTTCAAAGTACGACTCGTTGCCAAGGGATTTACTCAGGTTCATGGGTTTGACTATGATGAGACCTTCTTGCCAGTATTGTGCTACGAATCTTTGCGCATACTTATGGCTCTGGCTGCTCTCGAAGATTGAGAGATTCATGCCATGGATGTCAAAACGGCATTCCTAAACAGGGATCTAGAGGAAGAAATCTATATGGAACTTCCGGAATTACCCAAAGGTTTCTCGTCATGGCCAAAAGAAAAGGTGGCACGCCTTTGTAAATCACTCTATGGGTTGAAACAGGCGTCTCATCAGTGGAATATCAAAATCCACAATGCTCTCCTCGAACTTGGTTTTGCTCAGACATACTCCGACGCCGGTGTCTACACATATCGCCAACAAATGGGAGATACAGTCATCATCTTGGTGCTGTATGTTGACGATATGCTTATTATGGGCAACAATCTGCCGGAGATAGCGCGTATCAAATCCTTGCTCGCGAACCGCTTCAAAATGACAGATCTTGGTCCTGCAAAGGATTTCCTTGGTCTGAACATAGTTCGTGATCGCAAAGCGCGTAAAAACTGGATCAATCAGACTTCTTATATCGAAGGAGTTCTAGAACATTTCCGGATGTCTTCGTGTAAAGAAGCTCGTACTCCCCTGCCTTCCGGCATCGTGCTCGAGAAGCATGATGGAGAAGTTGATGAAGACCGTCGTACCCGTTACCAGCAGCTGATTGGCAGTCTTTTATATGCCATGCTTGGTACACGCCCCGACATTGCCTACGCAGTCATCCATCTTTCAAAGTTCAACAGCAACCCATCAGAACATCATTGGAACATGGCAAAATACATACTCTGGTACCTTCAGGGCACCAAACACTACCAACTTTGCTATGATGGTTCCACTGGCACAGGCCTTATCGGTTATTCCAATGCTGATTGGGCGGAGAACAAAGACGACAGGCATTCCACCATGGGATATTCCTTCTTCATCGCCGGTTGTGCAGTGACCTGGGTTTCTAGACGCCAACCCACGGTCGCTTTGTTCTCAACAGAGGCCGAATACATGGCTCTGAGCAATGCTACGCACCAGATTGCCTGGATCTGCACTTTATTGACTGAGCTTGGATATGACTTGCCATCCACGCCTTTTTGTGTTGATAACCAAGGCGCTATCTTTATGGCAGTAAATCCGGTTCATGATAGGAGGACAAAGCACATCGACATCCACTATCACTTTGTACGAGAATCTGTCAAAGCTGGCAATGTCCAACTTTACCATGTGCCGACTGATGCGATGATCTCCGACACGCTCACAAAGTCTTTGGCATGGGTGAAGTTCCAACAACATCAGCTGTCTTTGGGTCTTCGTGATCTGACTGTTTAGTTGAGTGGGAGTGTTGAAGCTTGTTTGTATTGGTGACTATCACAGTATGTAGACATGACATCATATGTAGTATCTTTAGATCACTTTGGCTCGCTCCACATTGACCTTATACCTGACCTCATTATTGCATCATCCATTACTCATCTATGATATCACTACTCCACTATGACATCATGATATCTGCTCCAGACTGGTATATAAACCTAGTACTATACGCTCCATATTCTCAGCTCTGTGTCTTCTACACTCGCTGAGGTATGCATACTCTCTTATGATCTCTTACGACTCATACTCATGACTTGTACCTAGACTCTGTTTCTATAGGTACTGCTAATGTTAGCTCTGTGTCTTCTATACTTGCTGAGACTCTGTCTCTATAGGTGATTGCTACTGGTCATATCTACACTGCGCGATATTGTCTGCGACATGTTGATCATTGCCTGGTGCTCCTTGTGACCCCTCATGTGACACTGCTCTGGGCATCAGCTGAATCTCATTGTCTGCTCCTGCCAATCCACCTCAGGGTTGTGTTCTGTCCGCCAATCAAGACCAATGAAGATCCAGGCTTTTCCTAGACACATCAGGAGAAATGTGCGTGTTTCCACATGAGGACCAATTCTCATCCTCAGGTTGAAGTAATGCGTGATCCGACCGCTGATGTTTTCGGTGTTATTGGCGTCATGAGCCACAATAGGTTGTGGAAGCTCTTGGATGTCCAATTTCTCCGCTCGTGCGTAGTTGGTATTGATACAACAGGTGCTATAACCACTATCGAGCAGTGCTTTGACCCCATATGTTTTCCCCGAGTCCAGGCCCATGATCTGGACATACACGTCCATTGAATGTCTCTTCCTCTCTGCCTGGTCGTCATGCAATTCCTGTGCCAATCTGCTGGGTTGGGGGCCCTTCTGTTTCTTAGCCACTAATTTCCTCTGGACGGCATCTGGCACCCTTGTGCGTTTGGGTGCTTCTGGAACCTTGATTTCGGCCAATTCCTCAGGCACTTCCTCCTTTTCCAAGGATTGAGCCTCTGGAGCGATGCTCCCCTTTTCGGTCTTTGTTGACGTGGTTTCTTCTTCACAAGCCATAAATACGTGGAAGTCCAAAAATAATTTGTCCACAGCTGCTATCTTCTGATCCTTTTTATCTTGTAAATATTTTCTATTTAGAGCTATTTTTTCTTTACGTTCTTTTTCCATCTCAGCAACAAGAAACTTGTGAATATTAGTATGTAGTGAGTCGGGGAGCGTGTATGTATAGTGAGGAATATTGTTCGTATCTTTGATTAAAAAAAAGTAAAGAAAATTGTCCATAGTCCAGATGCTCCACCTCCTTGGCTAGAGGAGTGGAGCGCTTCAGAAACCCTTCTCGCACAGCTTCTCGACAATCTCCTTGAGAAACTCATTGTCCTTGTCCCCGTTCTTGATCTCTTCAAGTATTGTAGCCCGATTGAAGAATGTGCGCTTCTTTCTTGGTTGCAGACAGTTCCGCGCGATGTGCCCAGGTTGCTGACAGTTGTAGCAGATGATATTGCTGTTAGTGATAGGTTTTGGAGTTGATCACTCTCTGGTAATTGGGTCACATGATCATCTGATTCCATATGATCTTATCACTGATCTTATCACTGATGATATCTGATTCCATCACTGTTCCCATCATTCCATCATTCTGGTCACATGACCTCTGATCACATGATTCCTGTATAGTCACATGCTCCATCCACATAGATAGTTCCTCTCTCCCTGGAGTTCTTCAGCTTCTTACTGTTGACTCCAGGTCTGTAGATTCTTTTCTTGTCTTGTCTTGCAATGCAGAGCTTCTTACTGTTGACTCCAGTCCTCTCTGCATTTCCTGCTTCAACAGCACTCCACTGCTATGTTACATGAAGCCAATCTGCCCCCTGCATTCAAGGCACTGGTGGTGTCTGCATACATCCATGTGTGCAACATGCACCCCACAGCTCGAGACCCCACCAGGACTCCTCATGAGCTGTGGTTCAAGGCAAAGCCTGATGTGTCTCACCTTCGTGTTTGGGGATGCCTTGCCTATGTGCATGTGCAAAAAGACAAGAGAGGTCCTTCTGGCAATTATGTCCAGAAGCGTATCTTTGTAGGCTATCCTGCAGGGTACAAGGGATGGTTGTTCTTCAACCCAGAGACCCGGAAACTCGTGATCGCTGAGAGAGCAGTGTTTGATGAGCGCTATTTCCCAGGCAGCACCCCTCAAGCTATGAGGAGCTGTCCTGCTGCACCCCCCTCCTCCATGCTGGTGGATCGTCTGCCCTTATTGTGGTGCGTGAGGGTGACCCCTCAGATCCCAAGCTGGCAGCAGCTCATGCTACTGCAGTGCAGTCCGTGTTGTCTGCTGTAGCCTCTGGGAACCCCAGGTCGTTCTTTGAAGCGTCTAAGCAAGAGGATGGTCCATTATGGCGTGCTGCAGCTACATCTGAGATCAACTCTCTGCTCAGCAACTGCACATGGGATGTGGTTGACTTGCCACAAGGGGTCAAGCCAATTCGCTCTCAATGGGTGTTTGTGATCAAACACAAGTCTGATGGCACTGTGGAACGCTACAAAGCCAGACTCGTAGCAGATGGTCGTGGCCAGCGCTATGGCATTGACTACCACGAGGTGTTTGCCAGCGCTATGGCATTGACTTGTTGATAAAATGGCTGAACCAGGAATTGAACCTGGGACCTCTGACTTGGATCGTCCAGTGCTCTAACCACTGAGCTATTCTGCCTTGGTGCTGGGATTCCCAACTCCAACACTCCTTGGTCAGAGACAGGTCAGGCAGCATGGGGGTGTCCACAGGCTTGCAGTCAGCCATGCCATACTGCTCCAGGAGGTTTACTGCATACTGCCGCTGGGAGATGCTGATGTCCCCACTGTCTGCATCACGCTCTATCTTGATCCCCAGAAGCCACTGTATGGGACCCAGATCCCGCACCTTGAAGGCCGTGCCAAGCTGGGCAATGACCTTGTCAATGTCAGCATCATGCTTTGCAGCAATGGTGCCATCATCAACATAGATAGGCAGGATCACGCGCACCACACCATCAGAGTAGATGTGGCAGGAGCTGTCTGACTTGATGCACTTGAACCCCATGGCAGTCAGCTTGGCAACCAACTTGATGTGCCACTGCCGGCCAGCCTGCTTCAGCCCATAGATGGACCGGTTCAGCTTCAGGACCTGGCCCTTCTCTCCCTGGGGGAACCCTTCTGGCTGAGTCATGTAGACATCCTCATCCAGGTCCCCATTGAGGTAGGCAGAAGAGAAGTCGATGAAGCGCAACTTGAGGTTGTTCTGAGCAGCAAGAGCAAGGATAACGCGCAGAGTAGCAGGTCTGAAGGTGGGTGCAAACACCTCATAGTAGTCAATGCCATAGCGCTGGCCACGACCATCTGCCACGAGTCTGGCTTTGTAGCGTTCCACAGTGCCATCAGACTTGTGTTTGATCACAAACACCCATTGAGAGCGAATTGGCTTGACCCCTTGTGGCAAGTCGACCACATCCCATGTGCAGTTGCTGAGCAGAGAGTCAATCTCAGATGCAGCTGCAGCGCGCCATAGTGGCCCATCCTCCTGCTTGGACGCTTCAAAGAACGACCAGGGGTTCCCAAAGGCTACAGCAGACAACACGGACTGCACTGCAGTAGCATGAGCTGCTGCCAGCTTGGGATCTGAGGGGTCACCCTCACGCACCACAATAAGGGCTGAGGATGACTTCAGAAGCAGCTCATTGTCACTGAGGTCTTCAGGGATCTCTTCAAAGATCTCTGCCATGGTGCGCCTGGGAGGAGCAGCAGCCGGAGCTGGAGCTCTCCTGGGTGGTGCAGGGACACGATGGATGCCAGCAGCAGCACGACGAGCTGCCACCCCAATAGGAGATTGGGGAGGAGGAGGCGAGGGTAGAGGGTGAAGCGGGGCATCCCCAGCTGGTGGTGGAGATGGAGGTGGTGGAGCTCGACGTAGAAAGTCGATTTCATCATCACTGCTGGCTGCAGGAGAGGGAACTCGTGGTGCAGAGAGAGGACGAGCAGGTGGCTGTTGCTGCTCATCATCACCATCGTCATCAGGGACATACACCGGTGCCGGAGCACAAGGGGGATCCACCAGCATGGAGGAGGGGGGTGCCGCAGGACAGCTCCTCATAGCTTGAGGGGTACTGCCTGGGAAGTAGCGCTCATCAAACACTGCTCTCTCAGCGATCACGAGTTTCTGGGTCTCTGGGTTGAAGAACAACCATCCCTTGTACCCTGCAGGATAGCCTACAAAGATACACTTCTGGACATGATGCCCAGAAGAACCTCTCTTGTCTCTTTGCACATGCACATAGGCAAGGCATCCCCAAACACGAAGGTGAGACACATCAGGCTTTGCCTTGAACCACAGCTCATGGGGAGTCCTGGTGGGGTCTCGAGCTGTGGGGTGCATGTTGCACACATGGATGTATGCAGACACCGCCAGTGCCCTGAATACAGGGGGCAGATTGGCTTCGTGTAACATGGCAGTGGAGTGCTCATCAACGGTGCGGTTAGACCGCTCTGCTGTCCCATTCTGCTGAGGCCGTGCCCTGACTGAATGGCGGTGCACAATGCCACACTTGCCCAGATGTGATCTGAACTCATTAGACATGTACTCTCCCCCTTTATCATCCTGGAATGCCTTGATCTTCAGCCCCCAGTGTGTCTCAGCATACGCTTGAAACATCTTAAGGGCTGCAAATGTCTCACTCTTGTTCTTCATGTGGTATGCTACCTTGAAGCCAGTGTGATCATCAACAAAAGTCACCCTGTGCTTCCAGCCCTCGCGGGTGGGCACAGAGTAGCTCTTTAGATCAGAGTGAATGAGATCAAGAGGCGCTCCAGAACGATGACCAGTTGAGGGAAACAGGCCAGCATTCAGCTTGCCAAAGAGGCATGGCTCACAGATGGGGTCTGGCTTCCTAGCAGAGGCAAGCCTCACACCAGTAACCAGCTCTTTATCCATGACTAGCTTGGTATCACTGTGGTGTCCAAGCCGCCTGTGCATCAGGCTGAGGTCAATGGGAAGAGTCCCAGCTGTAGAGACCAGTGCTGAACCAGCAGAAGGGAAACCAGTCTCTCTCACAAATGCCTGACCCTGCTCTGAGATATCTGCCACAAAGTACACTTCACCATTGCGCTTGAACAGGATGTAGTTCTCCTTCATAAGCACAGTGTAGTCATGGTGAGCTGACAGGTATGTAGTGGAGATCAGATTATGAGACAGAGCAGGGACATAGAGCACATTGGAGAGGATCACAGACCGGCTCCTGGCATGTCCATGGATAAGTGGCCTAAGCACTATCTCCCCCACAAGCTCTGAATAGACCACAAGTCCATTAGCCACTCTGATGGGTGCCCTATGAGGACGAGTGTTCTGCAGCAGGTGCACACAATGGGTCATGTGTGATGTAGCACCAGAATCTGCAATCCATCTGAGCTCAGGGTCTGCAGTGGAGTGGGAGAGAAGGCTTGTATGAGTGGCCACTTCAGACTTGACTGCACCCTTTCTAGGCCTAGGCCTAGGCCTTGGCTCAGGCTCAGGCTCTGGCTCAGGCTCAGAAGCATTGTCCTCTAGGAGAGACAGAAACTCTGGGCATTTTAGGAGTGTGTGGCCATGTTGATAACAGGCATAACACAATGGCTGAGCAGAAGCAGGTGCAGCTGCCAGGGCAGCAGAAGGAGCAAAGACTGATGGATGTGTTGGTGATGGGTTTTGGACTTGATCACTCTCTGGTGATTGGGTCACATGATCACCTGATTCCATCTGATCACATCACTGATTCCATCTGATTCTATCACTGTTCCCATCATTCCATCATTCTGGTCACATGACTCCAAGTCACATGATTTCTATACAGTCACATGCTCCATCCACATAGATAGTTCTTGCCTCTCTGGAGTTCTTCAGCTTCTTACTGTTGACTCCAGGTCTGTAGATTCTTTTCTTGTCTTGTCTTGCAATGCAGAGCTTCTTACTGTTGACTCCAGTCCTCTCTGCATTTCCTGCTTCAACAGGTTATGGGCCCCTGCCTCTAGAGTGCCTCTGAGTCATCTATTCTGAGATTTTCGAGTTTTTTTCCATTCTCTGATTTTCTCTGCCTGCTGCTGCCTGCTTGCCCCAGTCCTGCTACTGCAGTTGACATCTCTGCTCCCCTCTGTTCTGTTTTTTTTTCTGCTCTTATAGTGTCTGTGGTTCAGGCACTAGTAGTTGGGACTCTATCCTTAAGTGGGTGTGCTCTTTGGTCCATCAGGAAACACCAGGTAGTCATTCCTGTGATCCTGAGGTTGAGACAGCTAGGTGCCTGAGATCAACACACTCCTGAGAGCCTGTAGCTACATACATACATCTCCTACATCATTCTGGGCGCATTTTTGAGCACAGCATGGCATCAAATTCCCACTCTCATCCATCAGTCTTTGCTCCTTCTGCTGCCCTGGCAGCTGCACCTGCTTCTGCTCAGCCATTGTGTTATGCCTGTTATCAACATGGCCACACACTCCTAAAATGCCCAGAGTTTCTGTCTCTCCTCGAGGACAATGCTTCTGAGCCTGAGCCAGAGCCTGAGCCTGAGCCAAGGCCTAGGCCTAGGCCTAGAAAGGGTGCAGTCAAGTCTGAAGTGGCCACTCATACAAGCCTTCTCTCCCACTCCACTGCAGACCCTGAGCTCAGATGGATTGCAGATTCTGGTGCTACATCACACATGACCCATTGTGTGCACCTGCTGCAGAACACTCGTCCTCATAGGGCACCCATCAGAGTGGCTAATGGACTTGTGGTCTATTCAGAGCTTGTGGGGGAGATAGTGCTTAGGCCACTTATCCATGGACATGCCAGGAGCCGGTCTGTGATCCTCTCCAATGTGCTCTATGTCCCTGCTCTGTCTCATAATCTGATCTCCACTACATACCTGTCAGCTCACCATGACTACACTGTGCTTATGAAGGAGAACTACATCCTGTTCAAGCGCAATGGTGAAGTGTACTTTGTGGCAGACATCTCAGAGCAGGGTCAGGCATTTGTGAGAGAGACTGGTTTCCCTTCTGCTGGTTCAGCACTGGTCTCTACAGCTGGGACTCTTCCCATTGACCTCAGCCTGATGCACAGGCGGCTTGGACACCACAGTGATACCAAGCTAGTCATGGATAAAGAGCTGGTTACTGGTGTGAGGCTTGCCTCTGCCAGGAAGCCAGACCCCATCTGTGAGCCATGCCTCTTTGGCAAGCTGAATGCTGGCCTGTTTCCCTCAACTGGTCATCGTTCTGGAGCGCCTCTTGATCTCATTCACTCTGATCTAAAGAGCTACTCTGTGCCCACCCGCGAGGGCTGGAAGCACAGGGTGACTTTTGTTGATGATCACACTGGCTTCAAGGTAGCATACCACATGAAGAACAAGAGTGAGACATTTGCAGCCCTTAAGATGTTTCAAGCGTATGCTGAGACACACTGGGGGCTGAAGATCAAGGCATTCCAGGATGATAAAGGGGGAGAGTACATGTCTAATGAGTTCAGATCACATCTGGGCAAGTGTGGCATTGTGCACCGCCATTCAGTCAGGGCACGGCCTCAGCAGAATGGGACAGCAGAGCGGTCTAACCGCACCGTTGATGAGCACTCCACTGCCATGTTACACGAAGCCAATCTGCCCCCTGTATTCAGGGCACTGGCGGTGTCTGCATACATCCATGTGTGCAACATGCACCCCACAGCTCGAGACCCCACCAGGACTCCCCATGAGCTGTGGTTCAAGGCAAAGCCTGATGTGTCTCACCTTCGTGTTTGGGGATGCCTTGCCTATGTGCATGTGCAAAGAGACAAGAGAGGTTCTTCTGGGCATCATGTCCAGAAGTGTATCTTTGTAGGCTATCCTGCAGGGTACAAGGGATGGTTGTTCTTCAACCCAGAGACCCAGAAACTCGTGATCGCTGAGAGAGCAGTGTTTGATGAGCGCTACTTCCCAGGCAGTACCCCTCAAGCTATGAGGAGCTGTCCTGCGGCACCCCCCTCCTCCATGCTGGTGGATCCCCCTTGTGCTCCGGCACCGGTGTATGTCCCTGATGACGATGGTGATGATGAGCAGCAACAGCCGCCTGCTCGTCCTCTCTCTGCACCACGAGTTCCCTCTCCTGCAGCCAGCAGTGATGATGAAATCGACTTTCTACGTCGAGCTTCACCACCTCCATCTCCACCACCAGCTGGGGATGCCCCGCTTCGCCTGCTCGTCCTCTCTCTGCACCACGAGTTCCCTCTCCTGCAGCCAGCAGTGATGATGAAATCGACTTTCTACGTCGAGCTCCACCACCTCCATCTCCACCACCAGCTGGGGATGCCCCGCTTCACCCTCTACCCTCGCCTCCTCCTCCCCAATCTCCTATTGGGGTGGCAGCTCGTCGTGCTGCTGCTGGCATCCATCGTGTCCCTGCACCACCCAGGAGAGCTCCAGCTCCGGCTGCTGCTCCTCCCAGGCGCACCATGGCAGAGATCTTTGAAGAGATCCCTGAAGACCTCAGTGACAATGAGCTGCTTCTGAAGTCATCCTCAGCCCTTATTGTGGTGCGTGAGGGTGACCCCTCAGATCCCAAGCTGGCAGCAGCTCATGCTACTGCAGTGCAGTCCGTGTTGTCTGCTGTAGCCTTTGGGAACCCCTGGTCGTTCTTTGAAGCGTCCAAGCAGGAGGATGGGCCACTATGGCGCGCTGCAGCTGCATCTGAGATTGACTCTCTGCTCAGCAACTGCACATGGGATGTGGTCGACTTGCCACAAGGGGTCAAGCCAATTCGCTCTCAATGGGTGTTTGTGATCAAACACAAGTCTGATGGCACTGTGGAACGCTACAAAGCCAGACTCGTGGCAGATGGTCGTGGCCAGCGCTATGGCATTGACTACTATGAGGTGTTTGCACCCACCTTCAGACCTGCTACTCTGCGCGTTATCCTTGCTCTTGCTGCTCAGAACAACCTCAAGTTGCGCTTCATCGACTTCTCTTCTGCCTACCTCAATGGGGACCTGGATGAGGATGTCTACATGACTCAGCCAGAAGGGTTCCCCCAGGGAGAGAAGGGCCAGGTCCTGAAGCTGAACCGGTCCATCTATGGGCTGAAGCAGGCTGGCCGGCAGTGGCGCATCAAGTTGGTTGCCAAGCTGACTGCCATGGGGTTCAAGTGCATCAAGTCAGACAGCTCCTGCCACATCTACTCTGATGGTGTGGTGCGCGTGATCCTGCCTATCTATGTTGATGATGGCACCATTGCTGCAAAGCATGATGCTGACATTGACAAGGTCATTGCCCAGCTGGGTACAGCCTTCTGTTGAAGCAGGAAATGCAGAGAGGACTGGAGTCAACAGTAAGAAGCTCTGCATTGCAAGAGAAAACAAGAAAAGAATCTACAGACCTGGTGTCAACAGTAAGAAGCTGAAGAACTCCAGGGAGAGAGGAACTATCTATGTGGATGGAGCATGTGACTGTACAGAAATCATGTGACTTGGAGTCAGGTGACAAAATGATGGAATGATGGGAACAGTGATGGAATCAGATATCATCAGGGATATGATCAGTGACAAGATCAGATGGAATCAGGTGATCATGTGACCCAATCACCAGAGGGTGATCAAGTCCAAAACCCATCCTCAACATCGATGTCCTCATCAACTAGGCCAATGGGCGTGAAGACGTTCTTGTAAGGGTCGAAGAGTTGTTGTTGGGGGTATGGAAGGCGTTCGTGTTGAACACAGAAAACACAGATGGGAGCCGCAGGAGGCTAGGGGCACAGATGGGAGGCGAAAAGCCCAGTAGGTCACATTGATCTAATGCTATATACTATGCGTTACAGAGTAATGTCACACCCTTTGTCCGAACCAAGCACATACAATATCCACACATCAACACTCCCACCCTTGGGAGGACAAAGCAATCCAGAAACCCAGCCACTCCCACCCAACTGAGACAATCCCACTCCCACCCAATTGAAATCCACCAGATCCTCGAAAATCCAGACAGCCCCTACAACCAATTCGAGTCTTATTCAGCATCCAAGTGGATCTGCAGAGATCCAGCAGAGATCCAGGGAGATCCAACAAGATCTGGCCAATCCACCAAGATCCAACAAGATCCAAGGGGATCCAATGCGATTTTCGGCCTTCACAAGACAGGGTCGGGTGCTAGGGACTGGTGTGTGCCATGGGCAGCAGCACAGAGCGAAATCCATCGAAATCCATCGAAATCAGCAGAGAGGAGAGGAGTGGGAGGCAGGGAGAGTGGCTGAGAGAGAGTGGTGAAGCAGGGGCACTCCAGGGGAATGTGTGTATGTAGCAGCTGTGTGGTAGCTGTGAACTCATCTGCATGAATCTGACACCCTCCCCAACATCTCCACCCAAGATCTGGCTGATCCATCCTAATCCCTTCCTCCAACATGGTTGTACAGTGTAGCAGTGGTGGATGAAGTCGAAATGGTGGTCCTGGGGGTGGCAGATGGTGGCAGATGGTGGCAGAATGGAGATCAGGCAAGATCGGAAAAATGCGCAGCAAGGGGAAGGCCAATGAGGGGCAGGGGGAGGAGAAGAAAAGTTAAAGATGGGTCAGAGCGGGGCCCATAACCTGTTGAACACAGAAAACACAGATGGGAGCCGCAGGAGGCTAGGGGCACAGATGGGAGGCGAAAAGCCCAGTAGGTCACATTGATCTGATGCTATATACTGTGCGTCACAGAGTAATGTCACACCCTTTGTCCGAACCAAGCACATACAATATCCACACATCAACAGTTCGTCCCTGGGTTTGTAGCGATGAATAAGGTAGTCCCAATGTCCGGCTTCGAGCGTTGGCAGGAGGTGAATGCGTGTGTCTGGGTTGGATTGTTTCCTCTGCCAATCTCTCAGGACTTTTTTCGCGTGGGTAAGATGACGTGATGGTTCCCAGGTGTTCTTGCTATGCGGCCATCCCTTCCATTTGACCAAGTACTGTTTTCCTCGGCCAACATTTTGCTCTTTCACAATCTCTTCGACTTCCCACTCCTCTGCTCCTCCGATCATCTTGGCTACGGGCCTCTTCTCTCGGCGATGGGGGGGTGGTTCGTGATAGGGTGTCAACAGTGACTCATTGAACACTGGGTGCCTTCGGTCCGTGTCCGGCAAATCCAGCTTCCATGCAGCTGCTCCAACCTTCTCCAGTATCTCGTTGTTGATAAAATGGCTGAACCAGGAATTGAACCTGGGACCTCTGACTTGGATCGTCCAGTGCTCTAACCACTGAGCTATTCTGCCTTGGTGCTGGGATTCCCAACTCCAACACTCGTATGGCCCCAATCTCTTATTGCTCATCTTCTTGGATGGTCTATCCGTATTGATATTTTCCCCTCCTATGTACACCTTCATCCCAACCTTCAACTCCAGAACTTCTTTTCTTTGTTTATTGTAGTATTTTTTCATTTTTTCATTTGCTTTTTCCAATGCTGCTTTTGCTTCGTCTTGTATTTCTTTGATTCTTTTTACAAACTCCTCTGCCAACTCGTTCCTCGATTCCATCCGTTGCTCCACTCCCTTCCATGGGTGATATCTGTGATTGGCGTAGAACGGTGATATTTTGGTAGATGTGTTCATCTTGTTGTTATATGCGAACTTTGCCATTCCCAGCCACTCCGACCAGTCTGTCTCATAGTAATTGACGTAGATGCAGAGATAGTGTTCGATCTCTTGATTCATGCGTTCTGTTTGTCCATCTGTGATCGGGTGATATGCAGTCCCCAGATTCATTTCCACGCCCAACATCCAATTCGTTTCCTTCATGAAGCTCTTGATGTATTGTGAGTCCCTATCGGTGATGATCTTGCAAGGGATCCCGTGATAGCGGAAGACTCGGTCCCTGGTCAACTGTGCTACTTCTTTGCTGCTGATGTCAGTACTAATTGGTTCAACGTGAATCATTTTGGTGAAGGTGTCACACCACACATGAATTGTGTCATACCCATTACTGACCAGCAGGGGTCTGATTTGATCCATGGAGATGATTTCCCATGGCATGTTTGGGACTGCATGCGGGTGTAGAGTCCCCGTCCTTGCTCTCCTGGTCTTGGTCCGTTGGCATGCCTCGCACGTCTGGATGTATTTCAGAATTTGGTTTCCCATCCTTGGCCACCAGTAGTTCCTTTCCACCATCTCCTGCATTCGGTTGATCCCAGTGTGTCCAACCAAAGGTGTGTCATGGTGTAGCCCAATGATCTTGTCTCCCAGCTCCTTGTCCCTTGGTATGTAGAGCTTCCCATGATACGTGATGAGCCCCTCTTCCTTTTTCCATCCGGCGAGTGACTTCTCCAAGGCCGCTTTGACACTTCTATCAATTGATCGAGTGGCCTTGATCTCATCAACTAGCTGCTGATCTTGCCCCTCAAATGTGACTTCTTGCGATCGGAAGAACTCGGGCTTCAGCAGGGTGACGTCCTTGTTGTCATTCTTGCCCTGATCGTGATCCGCTCATCGAGATAAGAGATCCGCCTTGCGGTTGAGTGCGCCGGGCCGGTGTTGTAAGGTGAAATCAAACTCTGCCAACTCCGTGATCCATTGTGCTTGCTGTCGATTGAGCTTCTGCGGCTTCCGGAAGTACTCAAGATTTTGATGATCTGTGAAGATCTCAAACGTTTCCGTGGCTCCCAGTAGTAACTGCCTCCATTCGTCCAATGATAGCATGATTGCAAGCATTTCTTTGTCGTAGATCTCGTAATTTCACTCGGTTTCCGTTAATGCGTGCGAAATAAACGCGATTGGGCGTCAAATGCCATCTTGGTTTTGGCTCAAAACAGATCCTGTTGCCCCTTCCAAAGCATCAGCTTCCAGATGATATTGGCCAGTGTTGTTTGGCAGTGCTAGGACCGCATCCTCCGCAATTCTCTTCTTCAATCCATCAAATGCCGCATGCTCATCCATACCCCATGACCATCCTGCCTTCCCTGTCAGCCGCGTCAATAGCTTGGCGACCTCCACATATCCCCGGACAAAGCGCCGATAGAAGTTGGTGAACCCCAGGAATGCTTGGACTTGCTTGATGCTCTTTGGTTCAGGCCATTCCATCACGCCCTTGATCTTGACTGGGTCCATCCGCATCAAGTTGTGCCCAATAATTACACCCAGATATTTGATTTCCATGCGTTCGAACTCGCACTTTTTAGGTTTCAGGTCCAACTTGTGTTTTTAGAGCAGTTCAAGTACTCGTTTTGTGATCCGCCGATGTTCGTCCAAGTTTTCTGTGAAGATCAATATATCGTCAAGATAAACTACCACGTGACCCTTGTTGATCAGTTCTTGGAGTATGTTGTTCATCATGTTTTAAAAGGTTGCTGGGAATTTGTGAGACCAAAGAACATAACCAAGGGCTCATACAGCCCATGGTTTGTGCAGAATGCAGCCTTCCACTCGTCACCCTCTTTGATCCGTACGTTGTTATATCCCCACCGGATGTCGAGCTTTGTGAAGAACTTTGCGCCACATAGATTATGGACCAGTTCAGAGATCAGCGGCAGCGGGTATCGATTTCGGATTGTCATTTCATTCAGCTTCCGATAATCTTGGACGGAACATAGCAAACCATCCTTCTTTTTAACAAAGAAGAATGCTGATGCCATAGGTGATTTTGATGGCCTGATCCGTCCGCTGGCCAGGTTCTCTTGTAAGAACTCGTTGACTTTGACTTGTTCGTTGCGTGATAACGGGTACACCTTGCAGTCCACTGCTTTGGAACCAGGTTTGAGCTCAATCGCATGATCCCATGCCCATCAGTCCGGTAGCGAGTCGAATGATTCCTTGGCAAATACCTTGACGAATTCCCAATATTGATCCGGAATCTTTCCCTCGGTCATCCTCTCCTTCTCCTTTTCTGCTTCTTCTGCAAACTTCTGTGCCGGTGTTTCCTTCAGCCACAGATCTACTTCCTTCCCAAAGTCAACCAACAGGATCGATTCTCCCTCTTCCAGATCCGGTGCGCCCGTGTCCAGGTCGATTGCATCCATGTCAATCATCGCCTGATGCTCCTCGTGGCCCCTCATGTGACACTGCTCTGGGCATCGGCTGAATCTCATGGTCTGCTCCTGCCAATCCACCTTGGGGTTGTGTTCCGTCAGCCAATCAAGACCAATGAAGATCCGGGCTTTCCCTAAGCATGTCAGAAGGAACGTGCGTGTCTCCACATGAGGACCGGTTCTCATCCTTAGGTTGACGTAGTGCGTGATCCGACCGCTGATGTTCTCGGTGTTGTCGGCATTACGAGCCACAATGGGTTGTGGAAGCTCTTGGATATCCAACTTCTCTGCCCACGCGTAGTTGGTATCGATGCAGCAGGTACTGCAGCCGCTATCGAGCAGCGCCTTGACTCCGCGCATTTTCCCCGAGTCCAGACCCGTGATCTGGACATATACGTCCATCGAATGCCTCTTTCTTTTGGCCTGATAGTTGCGCAATTCCTGCGCCAGTCTGCTAGGCTGGGGGCCCTTCTGTTTCTCGGCCGCCAATTTTCTCTGGAGGGCATCTGGCACCCTTGTGCGTTTGGGTGCTTCTGGAACCTTGATTTTGGCAGATTCCTTAGGCACTTCCTCCTTTCCCAAGGATTGAGCCTCCAGAGCGATGCTCCCCTTTTCGGTCTTTGTTGACGTGGTTCCTTCTCCACGAGCCATAAATACGTAGGAGTCCAAAATTAATTTATCTGCAGTCTTCTGATCCTTTTTACTCTGTAAATACTCTCTATTTAAAGCTATTTTTCTTTGGTGTTCCTTTTCCATATTAGCAATGAGAAATGTTGATAAAATGGCTGAACCAGGAATTGAGCCTGGGACCTCTGACTTGGATCGTCCAGTGCTCTAACCACTGAGCTATTCTGCCTTGGTGCTGGGATTCCCAACTCCAACAAGAAAATCATGAATATTGGTACGTAGTGAGTCCGAGATTGTGTATGTATGTGCAGAATCGTTCATGTCTTTAATCGAAACAAGTACAGAAAATCGTCCATAGTCCAGATGCTCCACCTCCTTGGCTAGAGGAGTGGAGCGCTTCAAAAACCCTTCTCGCGCAGCTTCTCGGTGATCTCCTTGAGGAACTCGTTGTCCTTGTCCCCGTTCTCGATCTCTTCAAGCATCGTGGCCCTGTTGAAGAATGTGCGCTTCTTCCTCGGTTCTGGACAGTTCCGCGCAATGTGTCCGGGTTGCTGACAGTTGTAGCAAATGATATTGCGGCCCCGGGCATGGGTGCGATCAATTTCTATTGGAACTGGTTTGTTAGCGGCGGGTCGGGTTGGAGCGGGTGTGGGCGCGGCTGGTGCCGCCTGGGGACGAAACTGGGGAGGCGGTCGTGGTGCGGAGTGCCCATGCAATGCTTTGCGCAGCTGATCGTGCAGAGCGTTTGCCTCGATGTTGATACACCAGTCCTTGAAGGCGCCATACGCCTTGGGCAAGGGGACACCCGTGTTTTAGAGGTGGCTTGCGATCTCGCTGCTCAACCCACGCTCAAGGAACTCGATGAGGATGTTGTCCTGATCCCCCTTCTTGTACTTGCCCTTTGAATTGGTGGAGGTGACCACGTTGTACCCTGTGTCCGCAGCCAGCATCTCGAAGTCGGAGATATAATCCGCAAAGGATTGTCTATTCTGGCGCAGAGCCATGAGTCGAGCGACGGCAACTTGCTCCGCGTTGGAGTCCCCAAAGGCCCTCACACCGAGGGATTGCAAATATCACGGCCCATAAAGAATCAATTATATTCTATATATTGGGGCATAAAAAATGAATGGACCTGATATGTGACATATCGGGCACCCGATATCTGGGGTATCAGGTTGTTTTTGTGCTGATATGTGACATATCAGGTCAGCTTCTTTTTGGGGTCACAATATATGGAATATAATTTATTCTTTATGGGCCATGTTATGTGTGATCCCCCAGTGTGCCTCCGAAGTTCCTCCAAGAAGGTCGCCAAGGTGACCCCAGCCTTCAGTCCATTAAGGCTCTCGAAGTTGCGCTGCTTCCAGTTCATCGCCCATCTTGAGGCGGCGCAGCTTGTGCCAGTCTCGTTGCAGAGGTACGAGAGGATGAAGAGGATTTTGGTTTCATCCAGCAAGAATTCTGACCGGTATGCACCAATGTAGGTGGTGCACGAGTCCACGAAGCCCATGTATTTGGTCTTGTCCCCATTGAAATAGGGGGGGTTGGTGGCGAGAGTGATGCGGTGGTGTCCTGACATGGTAGGAGCAGGCGTGGTAGGTGGGGGCAAGGGTGGTTGTTTGGAGGGTAACTCGTCAAGGTCGGGGATCTCGTCTTCAGGCGGCGGGAGGGCGAGGTAGAGATTGGAGGGCCCCGGTTGGTTTTGGTACGCCAGATCGGGCGACAATGGTAAGATGGGAGGAGGAGACAGACTCCCAGACGACGATGGGAATCGGAACAAAATGGTGGATTCGTGTGCTGTACAAGCACTCGAGGAAAGGTTCTTTTGCTAGTAAAAAGATCCCGGGCCTAGCTCTTCACGTGCCCGATGATCCCAAGGTGCATTTTCCCAAAGGTCTCCGCAGCACTCCTTGTAGCTACCGTAAGGCTTGGGTCGGGCTCAACGTTACCCGTGGCCTGGTGCTGTTTGCTCGATATGAACCCTTCACTGCGATCGCAGAGAACAACTAGATGATTTGGTAAAAGGGTGAGTGGGGTGATAAGGGTGAAGAGGATATAGCGGGCGTAGCGGTACGGGATGCAGGGTAGGAGGTAAGAGGTATGAGGGTATGAGGGGAGTCTTCGAATTATGTGACAATCAACAAGGAATAATGTCAAAAAGAGAAGTGAATTTGAAGACTGGAGAATACAACCAAGTAGCTACAGTATTTATACCCAAATCCAGTCTGAGTCATATCTACAACTAATGAGTCATAAGGCTATGTACCGCATGGAGCACTGGTCATGGGTTGTAGTAGAACCTTCCGGAGCATATGTCGCGCAGCCTTGAATCAATAAAGATAATCCCTGGAACCCCTAGCCCGGACCGTCTGATGCCGTGATCTGTGATAAGATAAGTTGTGCCAAGATAAGATGAGATCGTGGATGATAAGATGAAAAAGTGGCTGAACTATGACAAGAAAGGTGGGAGGTCATGAGATTGTCAACAAACTTGCTTACTGGACAAATACACCAATAATTCTGTGAAATAAATCAGGATCCAGAGCCTCCGTGTGCACGTGACAGGGGCTTCCCAAAAAGGTAGCTTAGTCAGAAAAGTCAAGGGCAGAATGTCAAAATCTCTCCCAGGGGTGGTTAAAAAGGCCACAGCAATCTCAGATCTGCAATTCATCCTGTTATTGCAGTTTGCATATGAGTTGGCACAGCCTGTGATTGCATCATTTCTCGCACTTTTGAGCTCAAACCTTGTGTAAATCATAGCACCCGCATTTCTTCATGTATGAGTACGCAAGTAGGCTCTAAAATCACCATTTTTCTTCTAGTTTTTTATGGTGCTATGAAATCTTTAACATCGTATGTTTCAAAAACCCGGATTCTGCGGGAGACATCCCAGTCCTGATTTTCTATCCCGAGAACGCAAGAACAGTCTGTCGAAGTAAAACAGCCAGAATGCATATCCTATCACCGTACACCCGTGGCAAGTGTCCCAGAGGTCGGTGATTTTACCTGCTAGAGCGCGGATGTGTCAAATCTGCCATCTGTCATGCTGTTACTGCGTGCTCGCATTTCCTCCCCCCTCCATTGTTGCTCCCCATACACGGCACAGTTCATGGCTAGAGGAAAAGCCGTCACTCGGGATCTCTGTTGGACAGTCATGCAAATGCAGGGATTAGAATCTGTTGAGACTATCACTGCATATACTGGGATAAGCAAACATCAAGTTCATTGCATCGTTTACAACTACCAAGCTACGGGTCAAATTCTGAGAAGGAAGGAGAAGACGGGGAGGGCATGGCATCTCACACTGCAGGAGGTGAATGTACATCCTTTTGTCTATTCTTTTCTTGGCTTTTCCTCACAGACAATTGATCTGATTGTGTAGTTTCTTCACGGGTGCCTCACACAAACACCCGACATGTTCCTAGATGAGCTCAAAGCTGATCTAGAGGAAGCATGTGGCAGCCAAGCATCAGAATCAACAATATGGCATTCACTCCAGCGCAGTGGTTACACAATGAAGAAGGTCTGTCCGGATTGACTACATTGATGCATATAAGTCCATTTCTCCAGATCACACGGGTCGCTGCTGAGCGAAGCGCTGAAAAACACGCTCAGTATATGAACAATATCGGAATGAACTATAGGCCCAACCAACTTGTCTTTGTTGATGAGAGCTCGTGCAACCAGTGGACCTCATATCATAGACGTGCATGGGCTTTGAAGGGTAAACGGGCAACACGCAAGGCCTTTTTTGTACATGGCAAACGGTGCGTACTACAGTGTTCGATGTCATCCCAGTTTGATCCTATCTCTGTGCCAGGTATTCAGTGCTGCCAGCGCTTTCACTCAATGGCATTCTCGAGCTGAGCATCATTGAGGGCTCATTCACCACCAAAACCTTTCATGACTTTTTGGATGGCCTCCTTGACCAGATGAGCCCATTTCCGGCCCTGAACTCAGTGATTGTAATAGACAACGGCTGCATTCATAAGCATGACTCAATCCGGTGATAGGCTGGCTACCAGACATGCTCTGCACCAGCTCTGTAAGGGCGTATTTTTGCGCTTTTTACAGAGTTTACTCTCGAACCATTCGGTGTATCGTGTCGCGGATGACAGTGTTACGTTCAGTAGGGCTTAAGGGTCTACTGCCCAGTCGACGACTGTGGATAGTGTCGACAATAGCAAGGCAGTCAGACCACTACTGTGGAACTGGTCTTATGAGTCTATACCAGGCTCAGGGCCATTAGTGACGAATGCTTGGAGCGCGACAATTCCCCAAAAAGGGATCTTTGTTGCGGCGACTTCTCAAAAGGGTCATTCTCTGCAGATGGGAACTTGGGCTGAAGGGCTGAGCAATGTGCGACGTTCTCAATAATACGACTACTACTGGACAGGACTTGGCGTTATGAGATTGAACCAATCTTGTCGCGGCAACTCCCGGTTTTGAGTTGGACGTTTCCTCAGATCGTGCTACGGCAACGACTTGTCACATGTCAGGATCCATTCGATCACGGGACATTGTGGACGCGTCGCGGTGACACTTCCAAGTGTCATGGTGAGTCGCGTCCATACCCAAACACACTAAAATCGACACGGCTAGATCCGTGAACCGAGCCATGTGGGGAACGACTGGCGTGCCTAGGGCCATACGGCTTCTTGGGGCGCCCACGTTGGTCTCACTTGCCAAGACATACCCGTTGGCCAATCCAACACGTCGTATTCCAAAAGTATGATGCGGTGAGTTGGCCCACATCAAAAGTATCATATGGACTATGGGGCGGGGTCCTGATCACTCAGGACCTGTCCGATCGTTCAACTTTTCAATTACCCTAAAAGGCAACCGATCTAGATAGCGTAGCTACTATGCAGTTGTACAGGACTTTACTAAGCATCGTCGTAGACAGTATAAGTAGCACGTCGTTTCTTTGTATTAGGAAGCTTTCCCCCGGACTGTGAATCACTCTCATTTCAGATTGTTTTGTACAATTTGCGTGCCGCGTGATTCCACCCTAAGAAGTTCTGCTACCCCTGCCTGGTCGCGACGAGTTGCTCCCTGAGCACTTGTAGCTACTGTGACTTGAGTTTGAGTTTTGAGACATCAGAAAGTCGGATTCGCCGCATCTGGTTTAGTCGCGGCATTTAGTGTCGTCGCCTTCGGGCTTTGTTGAGATCGTTCCACACCTCTAGCTTGGCAGTGCGTCGACTAGTTGTGCTCGGGTTGTTTTGGTCAGTTGGCAGTGCGTCGACTTGAGAACTTTGGTTCCACACTTCTTGCTTGGCAGTGCGTCGACAAGTTGTGCTCAGATTTTGGACATTGGATATTGGCTGTTAGTTGGCAGTGCGTCGACGCAGCATTTTGGTTTACTAGTTGGCAGTGCGTCGACTCAGTATATTGGTTGTATCAGTTGGCAGTGCGTCGACTTGGTATTTGGGCTTTGCGTCGCCATCTGGACGCTGTCGCTACAAGGGATCTTAATACTCCGTATTAAGTTCTGACTTGTTATATTATTGTTGGTTGTAGTTGGATTGGTGTTGGTTGTGATTCGTATAGAAGATATTGGTTGAGACACTATTGTTTACTATATATAAATTCTTGTCGTCGACTTCGTCTTCCGCGACTATTGATCTGCGTCTATTGAGAGTTGTGATACTGGTGTTCTGTCCACCCCGAAGCCCTCGCATCTTTCACACACTGAGAAGCTGATTACGAGGAGTGTGAACATGTTTATATTTGGGTTTACTTTCACAGTAGATCCACCTGTGAGCATGCCCTCAGCATTTCACCGGGAGATGATCAAGAATCAGTTAGTGTCGCACTCTGCATTTGTCTCTCAGTAACTCACACTGTACAGTGGCATGCGTATACTGTATCTTCCACCCTACTCTCCAGACTATAATCCCATTGAGCTCGCATTTTCTAAGATCAAGAGTATTATCAGACAGAATGGAGTACAGTATCGCATGGCAACAGAATCAGATCAAGAACAGATTGCAGTACTTACTCAACTGTTCTGTGCCGTTTATTCTGTTACTTCTGAAGATGCCTGTGGCTGGTTCCGGAAATCGAACTACTTGTAGAGATACAATTGAATACTTGTTTACAACCAAACGGCTAATTAGCTAATAAGAAGGACAGCGCATTGAAATCCCTCTCAACACGATAGCACTCAAACCCAAACTCTTCAATATAGAACAGATCTTTGATTGCGTACTGCATGATCTTCTCAGCCATTCTATCACAAACACCGTACTGTTCAATCAGACATTGTACCGCATCTTCTCCCAGTCTGCGCAAGTCATTGAGATACTGGAAACCTCCAGCTTTGAGGCGTTCAATATAGGATTGGAAAAAGAAGCCATCATAGTTGCGTCCATTGGTTCGATCCAGAGAGGTCATCCAGCCATCAATAGTGGGATAGTGAGTGCAGTCTTGTGCAGTTGGAAGTGTGGTTTGCAAAGCCAGAGGCTGGTAGTCTTGATAGTGTTGGCAAGTATGCGTGTTGTGATGATCAAAGTGAGCCGATGAGCCAGAAAAGTGCGAGCGTGACAAGTTTTGATAGACAAGAGAATCTTGATAAGTGCGAGCTGAGATTTGATTGTGGAGAGAGTGATTGCAGAGCATTGTGTTTGGTGCCGGGTACAGGTATTGATAGTCAGCACAAGGGAAGTGATTGATATAGGGACTAGGCGGTGGTTGCATTATAGGCGGGAACATTGGCTGATAGTACATTCCTGGACCATACATCATTTGCGGTGGCATCATCATAGAGTGCATCATTTGCATTCCGTGCATCTGCATAAGCGGTTGGATTGGGTGCATCGGCTGGACAGTTGATGGTAGCACATGTAATTGCTGCTGAGGTACCGGTGGGGCATGGTCATTGATATGAGTGGGAAGCTTTGGAGATGCAGGGCAAAAGAATGGTGGCTCTACTCCAGCATCTTGAAGTTGCGCATTAAGTGGAGGCTGTTTGAGAGACATGTGCTTCCTGTGGTACTTGAAGATGAAAATGATGAGTATATGCTGGTTTATGCAGAGAGGCAAGAGCTTACCAGCAGCAAACTCCAGTATGCAAGAATGGGGTTCGACACAATGCCATGTGAGCCATCCTTTGTCATAATGCACAGTTTACCGTGTTTCTCACATGAGAGTGAAGCCTCAAGCTCACGCCAGAAGTCGGCCTGACTCTTATGCCCATCATTGGGCGCTGCCAAGTTATCTTACAAAAGTTTTCCTTTGATTGATGTAGTGTTCTAGATAGTCAATGTTGGTTCTCAAGTACAGGCACTGTGTTTGATATCACTCACTCTCTTACTTTCTCCAGTGTTCGAGGCAAGGCGGGCTGTGCTTCTATTCAGATTGACCAGTTTGATCTGGAACGATGTAGCCAGAGCTGTTTGAGCTTGCACACGCTTTTGAAGAATGGCTTGTGCATTGTAAATGAGTTTGTTGAACTGGTCTTCGTTGGTCAAGATGATTGACTTCTCGCCTTTCTTGGCAGTCAAGAACAAGTAGCCAAGACGGAGGTCAGCACAGAGAACAAGCATCTTGTCGGCCAAAATTTGAATGAATTCATTGAAAGAAGGGATGTCTTGCAGGGTGTAGGTGAAAGTGTCAGCAGAATGCTCATCAATATTGTAGAGAAACTCCATTGTATATGCTAAGCGCACCCAATTAATAAACTGCCGGTGCAGGAAAATGTCATTTGTAACTCATATACTTCCCCATAGGTTCCTTCGTCCTCATCTTCGTCTTTGTCCTCATCATCCTCTTCCTCATCCAAATTTTCTGCAGGTGGCTGAGCGCGTTCGGCTTGGTGCGTACAAGGATATTCGACTATGGTGACCGAGTCTTTGTCCAAAGAATCTTCGAGACCTTCAAAAGCACCTGACAACTCTTTAGAGCCCAGTGCTTGTCCCCGCACTGTATGTTATGTTAATATCATCACTGATCATGAAGATGCAATTGCATGCATACTGTCTAATGAAGCAAGGATAGCAGCAGCATCGAGAAGCTCCGGAGAGGGTGTTGGTGTTGGTGGCAAAGGGAGCCTGAAGTTTGGCCTGGGCTTCGGTCGCGGAACAGTGTGAGCAAGCTCAGGCCACACTTTTGCTGGAGCTGATTCAGATTGTGGTTTGGGCGGGCAACCTCTTGGGCGCTTGGGAGGCTTTTCTGTTTTTTCGGTGGGTGCAGGAGCTTTACATTTCCAATTCAGGGCAGCAGAAGTTGATTTTTTAGCATTCGGAGGCATCAGCAATGGAGGGGGGAGGAAATGCAAGCATGCAATAACAGTGTGACAGATGGCAGATTTGACATGTCCGCGCTCTGGCAGGTAAAATCACCGACCTCTGGGACACTTGCCACGGGTGTACAGTGATAGGATATGCATTCTGGCTGTTTTACTTCGACAGACCGTCCTTGCGTTCTCGGGATAGAAAATCAGGACTGGGATGTCTCCCACGGAATCCGGGTTTTTGAAACATACGATGTCAAAGATTTCATAGCACCATAAAAAACTAGAAGAAAAATGGTGATTTTAGAGCCTACTTGCGTCCTCGTACATGAAGAAATGCGGGTGCTACGATTTACACAAGGTTCGAGCTCGAAAGTGCAAGAAACGATGCGATCACAGGCTGTGCCAACTCATATGCAAACTGCAATAATGAATGTCTGCAGGCACAGTGCTTTGCATAAAAACACAGCCGTTTCTTTTCAGCTGCAGAGGAAAGAGTGATTAATACAAAGTAACTATACACTATGCACACCAGACAAAACACTACTAATCCACCTGTTTCTCCTTGCGCTCAAGAACTTGAAGCCATTTTTTCGGCACCCAGCCTTCACGACCGTCCCTGGTTCGACCT